GTGGCCCCCTTGACCCCCCCCCCCCCCCCCCCCCCGGGACGGCCTTGACTGTAACCATAAGCACTTGATTTTTACCTTGCTCTCTGGAGCTGTCTGTAAGATTAAGGTAGAAATAACATTTGCCTTAGGGGCAAAAGAAAATATTCTTACCTGTTTTTGAGCATTTTTTTCTCATTAGAAAAAAGGCAAATAAAGAGATGGATATAGTTCTGGATGTGTGCATACATGAACTATACCATAGAGCAGCATTTCCCAACTGGTGTGGCACAGCACACTGGTGTACTGTCAGGCATGTCCAGGTGTGCTGCAGCATTTTGGGCTGGAGCCATGCTCCCCGCCTGCTAGTGCTGAGGACAGACAGACGGGGAGCGTGGCTCCAGCCCAAAATGCCATCCGGTGCCTGGCTGGACGCATGCCACCCTCTTCCCCCCTGTCCCGCACATCCAGTGTGCTGCGGTGCTTATTTATTTAGGTAAGTGTGCTGTGGGGGTGAAAAAGGTTGGGAAACACTGCCATAGAGAATTCACAGATCCAGCTCACCATTGAGACAAATGCATTATTCAGAGTGGAGCTGGAATTAGAGGTCACTAGTAGAATTTTTAAAAGTCTAGTTTAGGGCACTCATTTTGTTTAACATTTTCATTGGTGATCCCAAGTACAGGGTTGTCCCACTGGTGGTCCATGGGTCACATGTTGCCTACAAGGGGTTAAGTTGCAGCCCTCTGGCTTCTGCCTGGTTACTATTCCCTCCATCACTCTGGCTGCAACAGCAGCATGAGTCTCTGGTTCTCCCTCCCTTTTCCAGCTAGCACTTCTAGCCTCCAATTCAGAGAGGTCAGACAGTGTAACACAACACCAGGAGCTGAGGCTGAGTAGGGTCCACACATGAGAGGCGAGGGAATGAGGTGGTGTGTGAGGAATAGCACCTGCATGGTTCAAAGGTGGGGGGTGCCTGCAAGGGCACATGTTGCAGCAGTGGACATGGGAAATCATGCTTGTGCACCCACACATTGCAGTGGGGCTGTGGGGAGGGAAGGGATTGTATTTGTGGGTCTGTGCAGTTGAGCAGTAGTGTCTGTATGGCCTGGTGTTCTGTGGTTCAGTTGGTGCAGCCCCCAAGGTATATGATCCCCCTAGGGGCTTAAAGTTGGACTACTCTACTAAATTGTTTTAACCCAAAGTTGAAAGGGCTCATCAATACAGAGAGGATCAGAACAGGATAATGGAGGAAGTGCCTGAGTTTGAGGACTGAAGTAAAGAAATATGAGGGAAATTAAGAACATAAAAATGCAAAAGACTTAAGTTCTGCTGGAGGCTATGAGCTCATCTGGTAGAAGATAACAGATGGAAAAATACACGTGTATTAGTTTAATGCTAGAAGACTGAGCCACTGATGCCACTGATGTGATGTAGCTATGTGTAACCAATGTGATCTTAGACAAGATATTTTGAGTAGAGTTAAGGAAGTATCAGGAACAGCCAGCATGGATTCCATAAGAGCAAGTCATGCCTGATCAACTTAATTTCATTCTGTGACAAGGTGACAGGAAGAAAGAAGTAGATGTGATGTACCTTGATTTTAGCAAGGCTTTTGACACAATCTCCCATGACATTCTTATTAATAAACTAAAGAAATACAGATAGACAGAAATACTGTAAGGTGAATACAAAACTGATTGGATAATAATGCTTAACAAGTAGTCATTAATGGCTCGAAGTCTAGCTGAAAGGAGGTATCAAGTTGAGTTCCCCAGGGATCTGTCCTGGGTCTGGTATTGTTCAACATCTTCATTAATGATATGAATGATGGGATTGAGTGCATACTTAGTACACTTGTGGATGGCACCAAATTGGATGGCGTTGCAGACACTCTAGAAGACAGAATGTCTGGGATGATCTAGTTGGGGAAGGTCCTGATTTGGGAAGGGGGTTGGACTAGATGACCTCCTGAGGTCCCTTCCAACCCTAATTTTCTATGATTTTGTAACAGTTAGGGTTTACAGTGACCTGAAAAAAACTGGAGAATGGTCCACAATCAGTCAGATTAAATTCAACAAATTCAAGGTCCTGCTCTTGGAAGAGAATAATAGCATACACTAATACAGCCTGGGGAATAATAGGTTAGGCTGAAATCCTGCAGAGAAGGATGTGGGGGTTACTGTTAACCACTAGCTGAGTATAAGCCAACAGTGTGATCTTGTTGCAAAAAAGACCAGTAGCATACTAGGTTGTATTGGTAGGAGGATTACTTCCCTTGATTAGCAAGTGATACTTCTGCTCTTTTTGGAGATGCCTTATCTAGAATACTGTGTCTGGTTTTGAGCCCCACACTTCAAGAAAGATGTGGCTGGATTAGAAAAAGTCCAGTTTAGAACAACAGAAATGATTAGGGGTGAGGGAAACCATGATTTATGAAGATAGGCTGAAAGAGCTAGGGTGATTTAATCTGGAGAAGAGAAGACTGAGTGGGAGATTTGGTAAGTCTTCAAATCATCTGAAGGGTGATTATAGAGGGAAGGAGACAGACTGTTTCCTGGGCTGCGTGGGGCAGGACTGTGTAGGATCTGTGGCTTCAAGTTGCAGCAGGCGAAATTTAGGTTGGATATTAGGAAGAATTTTCTTACTATGCACATGGGTAAGTATTGGAAAAGGTTACCTAGAGAGGTTGTAGACTCTCCATCCTTGGACATTTTCAAAATCTGATTAGACAGACTTTTAACTGGAATGGTTTAATCAGAGATGATCCTGTCTTGAACAGGGGGCTAGACTAGTGCCTCCCAAGGTCCCTTCCAGCCCTACTTTTTATAATTCTGAGTATTACAGATATAGTACAAGGCACTGATAAAGTAACATGTAAAATACCGTGTTCAATTTTGATCATTCAATAAAGGGAGAAGTCACTTAACAAGTGCAAAATAGGATACTGTGGTGATTTGCTTACGATAGCAAAATGATAACATATTGCATGCAGGTATATTCTAGGGTAAGCGTTATAGAGGGATAAGAACAATTTAAGATAAAGGACACAAGGACAAATGAGTGAAAATTTGTCTTAAATAAAATTAAGTTAAAAATCAAAATGTCTCTGACTATCCAAGGAGTAAGATTTTAAACAGTCTTCCAGCAGGATCACTTCAGGTAAAAACCCTGCCTGATTTCAAGATAAAGCTTGATAAATTCATGAAAGGATGTATATAACCACATTCCCTTGGATATTAGAGGATTACATTCAGTGACCCAGGAGGTCCCCCTCAGTCCTACATTCTTGTGTAATTTAGGAAAGTAGAATTGAATTACATTGTCTATGGAAGTTATTTTACCAGTAGGGAGCTTGAGAAAGCTGGTGATTCTCTTGTTTCTAGAGACTGACAGATGTGGTTCTCAAAGTGTGAGCAGGGGGAAATACCAATTACAACACCTCTAGAGAGATTACTGAATGGTAATTTTCAAGGAAGTACAGATCAGTTTTTCTTTGGAAACTATACTTGTTGTTCAGGGAAATAAAGGGTGGGAGTAGAGAGAGAGAAGCGCAGGGCTGATTAGCATTTAAGAGGGAAGCGCATCAAAAAGACACTGACTGAATAACTGGAGAAGTAGGAAAAATCACAAGAAGACAGCATTATGAATGCCAGTGGTGCAGAATTTCAAGTGTGGGGGAAAGAGTTGGTGTCAGAAGCCCAAGCAGATGAAGGAGGAGAATGATGGGAGTAGAGGCCCATAGATTTAACCACAGATCCATCCTAATGGTGTCAACTCTGCAGGGCTAATAGAGGCAAAAGATAGTGAACATTGATTTTCATCTCTAGTTCAGCAGATACAGTTTCAGAAACTCTCAAACAATTGGTGTATGAAATAAGAAGGAATCATTTTATGTAATCACATCTGGGAATAGTGCATTAATAACATGGAGTATGTATTCTATGGAGGGAAATCTTTATCCATTAGCTCCTTAACCGTGAAAAGAATGGAAAGAAAATCAAGTGCTCTGAAAATGGGAGCTTCCTTTAGTCTTCTTTAAAAGGGCATTTAAGAATTGAAAACCAAGAAGTGATTTTTCTTTTCTTTTTCTTTTTTCTACAGTTTACATGATGACCGAATTCGAATAGAAAGAATGCAAAACATTCATTTTGAATACAGCCATGCTTTCCAGCTGATTACTGATTTTTATGCAAGAGAAGCGCTTGACATCACAGGTACATCATTCAGAAAGTATTTGAAATTGATATTCCTAGTTAGCTTTTATAAGGACAAATAAAGAACCAGTTGCTCTGTGGTATTTCTTTATCCTTTTATTATGTTCTGCATAAATGTTCATTTTTCTCCCATAACTGTGAACATGATCTTTTATAAAAACTTTCAGTTAATGTATTTGCTTTATTAGCCTTTTTCATTCTTGCTTATATTTGCTACCACAAAAAAAATCTGTATGATTATGTTAGAGGCCCATCCGGCCTGCCGGTGCCATGCTCGGGTTGACATGGTGCTGCAGGACCCACCTGGGCAGAACCAGGTCAGCACCGGCCAGGAAAAGCAGCATGCAGCTGAAGCCGGCTTCCCATGTGCTGCTGGGGATGGGAGGAGGCTGGCCGGGTCTGCACTGGGCAACAGAAGCGGCAGCGGAGCCATGTGCCACTCAGGACTGACTAGTGCAGGCTCGTCCCATCCCGAGCGGCACATGGCTCTGCCACCGCTTCTGTTGGCTGGTGCAGACCTGACCGGGCTCCTCCCGTCCCCCGCAGCACGTGAGAAGCAGCCCCCTCGGGGCCTTGAGACCGAGCCCGGAGAGCTGCAACACCTGGGGGGAGACTGGCTGAGGGAGCAGGCGCCGCCTTGCTGTGGGACCAGGCCGGGCAGGGCAGGAGGCTGGCTTGAAGCAGGCAGGGGACAAGGCAGGGGCGGGCCGGCAGTGCCAGCAGCCTCTGCTTGCCCTCCTGCGTGGGG